TGAGGCGCGTGCTGTTGTTAAGGCACGTCAGCAAGAAAACGCGATCCCAGTACCGATCCATGTGGTGCTCCGTACTCGACTTGTATAAGATCTGACAGCAATTTGCACATACGTATTTTCAAGGGCCAGTGCAGAGGAAAGCTTCTGGTCCATCCTAAATGTGGATCACAATATCAAAGGTCTGTAGTATTAAGAGCAGTATCTTTGGTCTAACTGGTCGAACACCTTTGAGAACTGCAGAAAAACTACATGGACACCTGTGCTAACGTCTATTACTTCAGTCAATCTGGATCGTTCTAGTAGTAGTTGGTAGCGCACGCTCGATTTCGTCGAAAGCCATGCTGTCCATACGCGTGGTAGTTAAATGCTTCCAAGTAGGCCAATAGCGCATTCCAAATAATAGCTTCCATTACCTTTGAAAAAGCCGGTTGTATGGTTATGGGACGGTATTTGGCTGGATTAGAACGACTAGCTCCATGGTGAATTGGATTAATCATCCCGTGTTTCCGCACGTCAGGCACGTACATTTTGTCAAAGCAGTGTTAGATTAACCAAGGCAATGCTTCAGCTTAACTCATTCTTACCGCCGCTAGTGACTTCGGGTGTATATTATCAATTGCAGTGGTGATGGGCTTATGAATATTCAACAGCATTTTTAATACAGCTTCTGCCGTAAAGCAGATGGTATTGAGTTTTATGATGAAGCAGTCATTGGCAATGGGTTATGTGGCTAGTGCTTGCACTTAAATTGCGCAGCATGTTGTAGACACAGTGTACTTGCCTTTCATGTGGTTCCGTCCGCTGTTCGAATGGGAACAATTCGCTGTTTTACCTTACATATGCTATTGACGTGTTGAGAGATTAGCTTGTGACTTGTGGCTATATGCACCCCCAACCTTTACTGACACGTGAGTAATCTGAACGCAGTGGCTATGTTTGGCTACCTATGCCATCTAGGTCTCGGTTCCCGGAGAAAGTTGCTAGACTCGCAATATTTTGTTTCCCTCTAATCCTTGTCCTGTTTCGCGAAAAGAAGAGCGCGTTTCTCGGGCGGAAATTCACACCCGCTGACGAATCGACAACTACAGTTGAACTGGCTGACAATATGTTCCCATACATTAGCTGGTATCCTGTCTGCCTGCGAGATCCAGTTGGCTGTCTCACGTAGTCGAACTAATATTTCGTAGCGTATCAACATTTGTATTCAGTCGGCAATTACCACGAGATATCCTGCATTACAGATTTATTTGAAGAGTAGGATAATATGATCGCTGCAACCCAGTCTTACCTCGACGATCAATCTCACTTCCATCAGCTTTGTTTGGGTGAACAGCCGCTTCATTACTGACTGCTTGTCTTTTATCCGCAACTGGTGGATTGTTGATGTGGCCATAATGCGGGCAACTGCAGACAGAACCTTGTAGGTCGGCCTTAAACAGTTTCTTGGGAACTGCTTTGAATACCAGAGCTAGGAGGTTGGAATCGCCAAGAATGAGAATGTGTATGAACGTTGTGTTTTTTCACCTACCTGACTGCGGATGCCTGAGTGAAAACTATCGCGCGAGTGGAGAGATGAAGGCGGTGAATTACCGCCACCAAGCATGTGTCGCCGATTTTATAAGTAGGCGGCATCTTGCTGATCAAATCCTATAATTACTCACGTTGGAATTAGTCCAGAAGTAGAGCTACCACTCCATCTTTGTTGGGTCTGTCTTGACAAACAGTGGACGTGCTTGGTAATGCGGTCTCCATGTGATCTATGTCAGAACGTTACACTATATGCGTTATAGCGATGAGGTCGCATGATTTTTCTCATTGACACTGCCGCACTTCGACACGTTCACTCATTACGATTTCAACTTTTGTGTACAAAATGGAAAGCTTCTTGGTTATCAGAAGCTGATGACTAGGAACAAATCAATGAAGTGGATTTGTACGGCCGAGGAGAGGCCCGCACCTCATCGTATTTTGGGTGAATTGCCAAATACCGATATGAAAGAAATACGTTTTAGTCACACTTACACTTGTTATATGCAGTCCTTCCATCTTTTTCTCGATAGCTACGAGTGCTAAGTCACATTTTTCTCGGTTGCTGCTGTATTTGCATTGAGCCGCGTTTGGTGTGGTTTAGCGCGATTTGCGAGTGGCTGAGGTTCCTAAGGTGCCGCATCTAGTCATTGTTCAGGATGAAGTATGCAGTGTTGCATCTAAAAGCTTCAGCTTATGTTAACCGTCATCTTATGTGACTGCATTGTTAGTTTCAGTATTCTATGGACTCCGCCTTAATAGTTTGACGAGAACGTTAACCGAGCATTCGCTAAACTACGACATCGCCCGCACAGATACTTTCATGGATGCAACGCCATTCTTCATGGTCATGAGCGTGGGCTCCATCATTACTAGATGCCGGTAGCTCGGGGACGCCATGAAAAAAATTATTGTTCTACTTTCAGTGTGGTGGACGTATGAATTAAATCTGTCCCGCCGGTGTTCGCTCCATGGAAAATCCGTAAAAAGGCCTATCCCACTTCTTACCATCCGCAGGAGTGATGCCGACAAATGGAGCATCTCGACATGAAATATTAATCCCATTATTGTGCGTTCTAGCCAAAACTTCTCGTTTAGAATCAAGGTTAAATATCCTGTAATGCGCAAAATAGTAGTCGGAATGTTTCGCTCTCCGATTCCATCACACGTTCTGAGGCAGTACTGGGAGAAGTTTATTTGTGCAAGATATTACAAATGTTTGAATAAATGCTGCTTACATGAACGTGGAAGAATTTGGACTAATTTTGGCAGCGGCACGTACCAGCCGTTGCACAAATTGCTGAATAAATCACATATGATAATTATAGTCGCAATATTCAAGTAGGCAGGCAAACGAACGGCAGCACTTATCAAAACCACCTGCTTCTTCCGTTATATGTCCTAGAAGTGACGCAATCCATTACTCCACAAAAGCTAACGCAGTCCGTGAGGGAAACAAATCTTTCCAAATTGCAAGCGTGGATGAGTTTTTATTACTATTATTAAAGCAGCCCAAATGCTTCGTATACCTAATTCAGAAAAGTTCACATTTACAGATTATTTATCAATCGTAAAACGCAATTACTGCATGGATGAAGATTCCATTTCTAAGAAAGTCATCTCTAAGAGCTTTGCCATCTAACACCTAAAACTCATTAACAAGAAATTGCTTCTTTATTAGCGCACAATATCGAGATAAATCTGGGGAGAAAAGCGGTTCGTGGTGTTTCCATTTTGCACAAAAATCGAACTTATTAACGAAATTATTTCACATTAAGCATGGATAAGAATATTCCTGATCTCATGATTTCGTCCATTGGTTTTACTCTATCTCAGCAGCATTCGTGCATCAGACAGACATTACCGCAGCGACTGTGAGCACAGCAACCACAAACGAAAGCACCTCACTGAAAAGCACAACTGCTGCACACGAATTTATTGACGGATTATCAGCAGTTAGCACAGGTACTAGTCCAAGTTTTGCTCATCTTCTTTTCATCACAGCCGCATCTATCTGTAGTTTTGTTTGGAAATATGTATGATACGCTTCATATACACACCACGCTGTAGGGAACCATCATCAAGTCGCTTCATGTTTACATCGAGGAAATGATAAGATCTATCTTCCTCCACTTCAGATGTAGACGTTAGCGCTGTGTGTGCTTGGTTAAATGTCTTAGTAAGGTTTCTGCGGATTACTCACCACACCTTCAAGTCATCTGCGAACAAAGCACAAGTTGATTGGAGTAACTGAGGCATATCGTTTCTATGGATCAGAAATAAAATGTATCCCAGTACAGTGCCTCGGGGCATGCTGCTGCTCGACGGATAACAGTCGGTTAGAAGGTTGTCCACCTGGACCATCCACTTTCAAACAACAAGAAAATTTCTGATCCATTTGTGCAGCGAACAACCAACACCGCATGTCCTCAGCCTGTCGAGGAGCACTGCATGGTTAACCTTGTCAAATGTCTTCCTGAAGCCAATGTAAATTACGTCGACTGATTGGCCTTGGTTCAGCGGATGTAACCATTCGTGCCTCGTCAACCGTAGGTTGGTGATGTACGAGCGACCTTTCATGAAAACATGCTGTGCGGAGTTTAACAGGTATTTCGACTCAAGTAGCTGCAGTGGGTTATTCTTCACGATCCTCTCACGCGTCCTTGCTAAAACAGTGGTCAGGCAGATCACTCGGCAGTTATCCACTTTGCTTGGGTTGCCAAAATTCGGTATGGGCATTACGACTGAGCATTTCCAGTCGTCCCTTAACAGTATTCAGTATTTATTTATTGCAGCTCTAAGGGTTCGATACGGCCCGTCATACTATTTAAATACCATAGTGACTTGAACCATGGGCGGAAGAATTATAACAGAATGAGAGATTGATTTAATCTTTTTCATTTCGGCTGTTTCGCAAGTAATCGGAAGAATAGAATGTTTATTTTCGTGTATGGCAAACTTGTTTGGAATTTTGATCCCGGTCTAGGTTCTTGGTTATACTTAAGCCAAAATGTGGTCAGTAATTGTCATAAAAATACAGGTATTGTTAAAAATTTGAAGACGTTGTTATCATTAAATTATTGCCCTCGCTTGCTGCCTGCAGTGCACTAAGAGGAAAACAAAGGATGTCTGTTCAGTATGTAGCTGGTCCGAGCATGTATTGCACACCTTCCACTCTGTCAACTGTTTTTGATGGATAAATATCTAATAATTAAGTAGAATTTATTTTCAATATGTGGGTCAAATTTGATCCAGTATTGAGTGGTGGATCAGGAAATGTGAGGTTACCGGATGAAGTTATCTGTGAATTTTGGTATGAGGAGATAGATCACGGCTAAGAAGCAATGTGAAAGTGCTTGTTCGTGTGGTAGATTTAGGAATGAATTTAAAATTAAGGGTAGGACGTTTTATCTTCATGCATCGATAGTCATGGTGCGTGTAGTGTTCGTGATGGAAAAAGCGAGGTAATTATGCTGTAGTAACACGGGCATATTTTGCTAATTTTTCGAACTGGTTTAGGAGAATAGCTTCAAAACGTTGGGGTGCTTAGATGGTAGAGTGTGCCCCGGTACGTTCCAGTCGATGCACAAATTCCTGGTCTCAACGCACATGTTAACTCTAGCTACCTAATATTCACAGTGGCAAGTAAACGAACGGCAGCACTCATCAAACAACTTACTTCCGCCGAAACAAGTTCCAGACTTGGCGTAGCCCGGTTTCTCCAATACGTCAACGCACTTCGTATGGGATAAATAGCTGTACAAATTTAAAAGACATACCTTGTTTATTCATAGTTATGCTATGATAAATATAAGATACATCGTCCAGTTACTACAGAATGCTTAAATTTTCCAGTGATCTATCAAATTGAAAATACTGTTTGCTGAAGCGGTGCAGATTTCCTTTCAATGAGACTCGCTTTTCAAAGATTTGCCAATAAACCTATACTCGTCGTTAACGCGGCATGATTGATAAATTAGCGCACAATTTCCACAACATACAAGTGGTGAATTGACTTCAGTGGTGTCGCTATTTTCAACATTAAGCGACCTGATTCAAGCAAGCATTTCACATAATGCAGGCATCATAGTAATAATAATACTGCTAATAACTATACTAATACTAATGCTGATCTTATGCGTATATCCATTACTTTTACTCCTTCTCAGCAGAATTTGTGCATCAGAGGGACACTACCGCAGCGACTGTGAACACAGCAACCACAAACGAAAGCACCTCACTGCAAAGCACAACTGCTGCACTGGAATTTGTTGATGGATTATCAAGGTTAACCACAGGTACCAGTCAAATTATTACTGATATTCGTGTACCAATCTACTCTTGCGTCGGAAGCGTTGATTGCCTGATTATATAAAACAGCACAAATAATGTTTTTAATCCGTCAAACATGACACTGTTTGCTTTATGCCGGATGGGTTCGCGTCCTACAAGTCGCAATGATATAAGTAAATAATGACGGATAATACTCGAGCAAAATCGCACACACCAATTTTATATAGGTGATAGTAACGTTTGGATTCAAAATAAAGCAAAAGTAACCAGAATAAAGAAAAAGAAAACGCGCAGCTCAAAGAAAGAAGGAATATAATATTACGACAGCAAACTTTCTACATGGCGTAGATGTATCAATCTGAAAATAATTATTTCCGAATGGACGAAGATTACATTTGATTAAGCGCACATGACAAAGATTTGACACTAAACCTATATCAGTAGTTAACACGAAATGGCTGAAATATTTAGCGCACAATTTCCACAACATACCAGTGGTGAGTTGAACTTAGTGGTGTCTCTGAATTCAAAATTAAACGACCTGATTTAAGGATGCATTTCACAACAAGCAGGCATAATAACCATAATAATATTCCTGATCTAAAGCATTCATCCATTGTTTGTCCTCATCCTCAGCAGAATTCGTGATTCAGACAGACATTACCGCAATGAATGTGAACAAAGCAACCACAAACGAAAGCACCTCACTGCAAAGCACAATCGCTGCACATGAAGTTATTGACGGATTATCAACAGTTAACACAGGTACTACTCAAAGTTTTGCTCATCTTCGTCTCATCACCTCCTAATCTATCTGTAGCTTTGTTTGGAAATATGTATGATACATCATTGGAAAAGTCGTTGTCGCATTCTATTTATTTAGCTCATATTTGCTCCGATTTTCGAAACATACGTTGTCGGCTAGTTGACGCTTTATCTTTCCGTACTTCACATTTGCTTCTTATAACCAACTTCACCCAGATTTGTGTTTGTAACATCATTGTTCTTTCAGTACAAAATATTTACTTGTTATATGTGGAATAACGATTCGCTGCTGCTTAAACATTTGTAGATCTGGAAGCAGCATTTGTTTATAATTTGATAAGCGAATTTTGATCTGAATAATAGTTACTAACTTTATAATCATCATTGTCACATTAGAGCGCATCTAACCTAGAATGAAACATTTATGCTCATGTAGAATTAGAAATGCTGCTGAAAGAAAGAGATGTTTATCTGCTTTCATTTTAACAGCTTTAAACATATCCGAAACATTCAGAATGGTATTATTGTGTGGATACTTGAGGAAAACTTGTCTGGCATTTGTCAAACGGCACACACCATTTGGATTTACTTGCTACAGGTTGTGACAAGTAAGAGGTAGCATAAACCGCAAGTGTTGGAAATAAATAAGCAGACGTTGGAAGCAAGGAGGTTTAGGTTCACTTTGCAGCCAGATGAGCCTTAATAGGGCAGCAAAGAATGCCTAGTCAGATAAGCAAAGACCGCTTGATAAATGTGAAGGAGGAGGGATTGTTACAATTAGGTTTTATTCTCAGCTCATACTTTTGATATGGCTATGTATGGGTGATTTGCCTTATGCTGGAAAGGATGTAGAGCAAGATACCACCTCAAGTATTCGTTGTTTTACGACGTTTACCATGGACAGGTACGCGTTGACTTACCAGAAACGCTGCTGCACATGAATGGCCTTATCGCGTCCATAGTGTCATCTGGCTTCTGGAACATCATGTATAAGCATTGTCCAAACTTCGGTTTTTTTTTCAATTTTTTCCTTTTTTATCATGGTGAAAAACCCCAAAAAAAAAAAAATTCCTGATTATTTATTTAAAATTTTTTTAATTAGGAACCCGGGGGGGACCCCCGAAATCTCCAATTATTATAATTCTTTCTTAGTGTATAGGCATTTTATTATTAAAGTTTTAATCTTTGTGTGGTTAATTCTTCTTCCTGATTGCGGCTTTAAAAAGTAACTTTTTTGTTGGTTCGTAATTTTTATTAAATTTTTGTTGGCAGCACCAACCCATTTTGTCCCTTTAGTGGGATATTGGGTTGGGCGAGTATCTTTTATTGTGGGTCGGTGTTCTTATTTCTTATATTGATGTTTATAGACAAAATATGGCATATTTATTGTCAAACAATTCGAGCCATTGAGAAAGATTGTGAATAAAAGAGTATCAGACTTAATTTTAATAATCAACTTTTAGGTGTCAAACGTTGAGCAAGGATGTTAGTGGCATAGTGTCAAGTGTCAGCAGTTAAACAGTAGACACTTAGTACCGCCCCAACTCAGAGTATCTTAATGAGTCCAGATGCGGACGACACTACCATGTTGTCATCGTTTGGGGAGCAACACCGAAACGCGTACATCGCGGATAACGAACTTGTAATCGGACTGTTTGAGGTGGAGTTCGGATGAACCAATTTCAAAACAGGACTTGTATGTCGCAATCGAACTATACCGCTGGGACACAATATCCAATTTTCAATATTCCTGTTCGTCCATTTCAAAGTTGTTGCCATCGTTCGTCATATTTCCTTAATATGTAATGTGCCATCTCTGCATTGGTGATGACTATAGTGACGTACCTCACCACGAATTATATGGTCTACTCGGTGAAGCGTCATCTTGTTCACTCCCAGCTCAACAACAGAGAATTGCGTAGATGATTCAAACAGTGAATTCTTGTTCCTATTTATTCTGCTATGTGGTAAACTTACATACCGCTCTCCGTTTTGTAGCCTTAACTCCACCTCTTTAATCTTGGTGGTTACCAATCATTGGCTTGCGTCTTCGTTGAGTAATAACCTCCTGTGTGGAGGCTGAGCGCTTGACTGTGACAATGTCCATGAATGTGACTGCCACGCTTTAGTTTGTCAGCTGAATTGTCTGCCTTTTCTGCGCCATTATATCTGTACCATGTTGCTGTCGTCACACGTTTTACCAGACAGCTTAAGTCCCTAGGCCTTGCGCTCGGAATTCGATCAGATTTACAAACACTGCACCCGTAAAGAAAGGAAAAGTTATCAATACACTGTACACGCTTAGTTCGAGTAGTCTGAGAATTTTCCGGCATAGTTTCGCTGCCATTCAATATGTAAGATTGCTCACTGTCACCTTTCTTATATAACGTCCACTTTGCGTGACTATCGAGAACGACGTTCGCTGGACAAGATCCGCTACACCTGAAGCTGCCCCCTTTTGAGCGACCAGTTTACTTTAAATATGTCGCCGACATTGTATGTAACAACGCCTGAATGTTCTAAGCTGCACTGGACAGATCAATACCGACTGACATTCACTTCAGGCTATGCCTACCACCGTCGATAGGTAAAGTCGTTCTCAAAAATTGACAGGGAATCACCTCTGCGTTGACGTTTGGTGGGTATCGAGCAATAGACAACGATGGCTTGGTCAAGTGCTGCGCATGTCAGCTCACTTACTCCCACAACGTACGAAATTGGTGCAACCGGGGTGTGGATGAATGAAGAGGTGTGGAGGCCAAGCGATAGATTGTTGAATAAGTATGAAGTCACTTGTTTCCAAAATGGCGCCAGTTGGTGTTACCCGACAGCAGGGCTGGGTAAGACGGAACATGAATACGTCTGGTCCGTTGCACGTGTTTGTATGGCGGAGAAACGGTCCCAATATGGTTTGTGTCTCGTTGTAATTTGGCATCTCTCCTAACGATGTCTTCATCGTTCTACTGCGCAATAACATTTTGTGCAATATATGATCTTATTTCCTCCGGTTTTATTTGGTCTATTCTAACTTCTGTATAATATTTTACAAAGAGTTTTTCATATTTTGCATTGCAAAATATTTGGCTCATTTGCGCGTAGCACTTACAACTAGGTTGTATTTACCATGATAATGATGATAGAGACCTCAAATTAATACCTCCGAACTAAAATATTAGATTGTCCACACTGCCAACGAATTATTTACGGCGACTATAAGGGTTAACAGCAGCCGTTGTCCTCATATGTTGGTTAAATTTTTTCCTACCCACATGGTGGAAGAAAACAGAGACACGCCTGCAATACCTAACGAAATTAACCGTAAGACCTATAAACCGGATTCCGTTTTAATACGAGATGATGGAAAGAGCCAAATGGAAAGCGGGTAGGAAATAATACCAGAAATTGAAAACTTTGCGAAATCATTGGAAAATGGCAGAAGTTCAAACGTGTGTGTGTTCGCAGTAAATAATGAACATTAAAGTGCATAACAGAGCAACTGGCACAACATGTTGAAAAGCTATGACTAATTTAAAACAGGCGGGCTAAACTTAACAGTAAACAGGATTGCACCGAAAATAATAAGGAACAAATACGCAAAAGCAAAATATATCTCGTTACAATCAATAGTCAACACAATGGAGAAGACAGGAATGGCTACGAAGAGTTATGAAAACATGTTCCGAAGAACAAGAAGTACTATGAACTAGGCATATAATAAAAGTGGAATAGAGAAATGGCTTTTAATATAAGCGAGCAGCAAATGATACTGAACTCAAAACAAAAGAGAGCAATCTGTCAGGTTATCCTGTGAACGAGAAGAAGGAATTAATTTGAGGAGAGCGATAAAGTTAAGAACTTGATGAATTCCAACTGGCAGAGATTTGCCCTTGGAAAGAAGGAAGTAGATACCACGAAAGTACATTTAAATTAGAGTTTACTTAGCATTTATACTGAGAGTGTCATGCAGTCCATGATGTTTACGATAGTAACCATGTGCTATTGATTCTAACTTATAAATACCCCAGAAAGAGAGGGATTTCACATCAAGCATGGATAAGAATATCCCTGATATCATGCATCCATCCATTGCTCGTACTCTTTCTCAGCCGAACTCGTCCAACAGACAAATACTACCGCTGCGACTGTGAACACAGCAACCACAAGCGGAAGCATCGCTACGCAAGGCACAATTGCTGAACAGGAATTTACTGAAGAATTTGCAACGTTAACCGCAGGTACCCGTGTAAATTATTGCTAGTCTTCCTCCCCCATCTACTAATGCATCTAGAAGTTGGTTGGCAGATTTTGGGAATCATCACAGAAAATGTCTTTCCTCCGTTAACACGTAGCACTGTTTGTGTTGTGCAGGATGTGTTTGTGGCCTACGATTTCTAAAGAGATAAAATACAACAATCAGAATATCCCCGACAAAACTTTCATCCACAATTTATGTCCCGCCTATGGCGCTAGTCGTTTCTTCCACCAGCAGCAAAGCATCCCGTTTGGGACAAAAAGCGTTCGCAATTTGGAAGGAAATATTATATCTCACCTTTAAGTTAAGAGATAAAGGCCAAAAGCAATCTTTATTTAAAGCAAATACCCTCACATTTACAGGTAATATATCAATCTCACACCGTTATTTCTGAAGGGACGTGGATGCTATCTCTATGAAAGACATGTCAGAGATTTGCTTCTGAACATACCAACGTAGTTAGTACGAAATAACTGCTAAATTAGCGCACAATTTTGCAGCATACATGTGGTCACCAGCGCTTCCTGGTGTATTCCACTTCAACAATATTTGACCACATTCTTTGAAGCATTTCACATCAAACATGTTCAATAATAATATTTCTGTTCTCATGCATCCATCCGTCATTTTTCCATTCCTCAGCAGGACTCGTGCATAATGCAGATATTACCGCAGTGATTGTGAACACATCAGTCACAAAAGAAAGCACCTTACTGCAGGGCACATCAGCTGCACTGCACTTTAGTGACGGATTATCAACAGACACCACAGGTACTAGTTCAAATTGTTGCTGATCTTCATGTCACAAACTGCTAATCCGTCTATAGCTATGATTATAAATATGTGACGACTCATAGCAAAATCGTTTCTTGCATTCAAATTGTTACGTTTTATATCCTCAGGTTTTCGAGAACTGCTGTTGTCGGCTTGATGATCTTTAACTTCTCAATCGTCGCATATGCAGTTTATTCCCTATTTCTCACACGTTTTTGGGTTAGCATTTCAAACATACATGTTCTCTCAGATCAAATTATTTAATTATTAAATGTGGATTAAAGATTTTATGCGGCTTATATCTTTGTAGATACGGAACCACCATTTCTGTGTCTTTATAATATGATCAATCATTCGCGTTTGTGGAATAGTTATTACATCCGTATTTATTCATATAATCCAGCGCAAATAACCTAAAATTTTATGATCATGTGGAATAATAAAAATGCCATGGAATGTTGGATTAATTTTCCGTTTTCATTCTAACAACTTTTCTACTAACCCGAAGAATTCGGAATAACAATTTTAGTTCGGTGCATGAGGAAGATTTGTTTGGCATTTATCAATCAGCACAAACACTTTTGACTTATTTGCTGTAGGTTGTGACAAGTAAGAGGTAGCATAAACCGCAAGTATTGGAAATAAATAAGAAGACGTTGGAAGCAATGAGGTTTAGGTTCACATTGCTGTTTGATAGGTCACAAAAGAGCAGCAAAGAACGCCCCGTCGAATGAGCATGGGCCGCTTGATAAATGTAAACGAAGAGATAGTTACAGTCAGAATTTCATTCTCAGCTCATACTTTTGTTTTGGCTGTAAGATATGCGTGGCTTAGTAAGCCGAACTTGGTGATTAGAGAAAAAATTGGTTAGTTTAATCTGATTTTGCCATCCCTCTGCATTCCTCTATATTCCATGTAGCACGATAAAATTATGTTCATATTCAACACACTTCT